GTTTTAAACCGCTTTTAGCAATATTCAGTGCAATATCACGGTGGGGACATCAGAAATCGGCTTCACAAATAGTACCCATGTGGGGAATCGAAACTTGGCGTGACAAGCGAGCGCTTTAACTACTGGGCCATCCCACCGCCCTAGACTAACATCTAGTCTCTGAAATAAACGTTATTTACACACACACACACACACACACACAAATAGTGGGTAGTCAATATCTCATTCTCATGCAGAACTTTAAACTTGATTAAGACCTTGTCTCGAAATAAATTACATATTTTTAAAATACGCAATTCTAAGTGTATGTTAATACTCGTGACTAGCATTTAAAACCTATATCCTATAACATTTTGGAAACAATGTTTCAATAGTTCTTTTGTTGCTATTGTTTGTTTGATGGTGACTGTTCCAGTGTCGGAATGATGACTATAACAGTTTCTTCAAGGCCTTGAAGTCTGGAGATCTGATTGTTTGGTTAATAGGTTAACAGCAGATTCTACACCATGAATACCTACTTTGTCTCTGTCGCTCAGCGACTTTCGTCAATGATCGGAATGGAATAAATGCTTTTTTTGGTTTCAGTAACGACGAGACAGTTGTGAGCGGCATGCTGCACAACGGGATCCGATATCAACATGCCACAGCCCCCTCCCCTTTCTGAAGCAACTGATACTGTTAGTGTAGGCTTCTGTCTGCACCATGCTCTCCCTCAAACACTGGGAAGAACATGCTCCAGCCATCTCCCCTTTCTGAAGCAACTGATACTGTTAGTGTAGGCTTTTGTCTGTACCATGATCTCCCTTAAACACTGCGACGCCCTGGCGTTTTAATGTGCCAAATTCACACTTGTTGGAGTGACTAACTTTTTCTAACTATGGGAATTAAGGAAAACGATGCTTTTAAAAATCTCCGACTCTAAAATTTTGTTTGGTCAGCTATATTGGATTTCCCAACGTGTACGTTATAACTGTCCAATAGTCGGAATTCAGATACATATTTACTCGATCCTGTTCAATGAATACAGCTTGTCCAAGTATTCGTAGTTTATCGATTGGTAGTGAAGACATAGACCACGCCCCTTTTATGCTTTAACACTTGTCTAATTCCCTTTAAAAGTTTAAGTTGGAACCCAGAGACCTACGGTAAATCGATGAACCGGCACCCGAAGGTTGTCTTTTTCAAGAGTTCCTTAGCCATCAATTATGGTATTTCAATTTTATTTTTTAAATTCTTTCTTTTTTCCATCTAACGTCGTAACGTCTGACCAGATCTTTGTTCACTGTTGGCGTTTATTTTATTTAATTCTGTGCACTTGTTGATAGGTGGGTTGGGGTTGGCTTTGGGGATTACACAAGGTGGGCTCTTATTCAATGATTTACGGTAAACCTGAAAACCGTTTACTTTGAGTGGTGTGTGTAGTGAAGGTTGTTGCAAAGTTATATTTTAACCAGTTGAAAAATATACATTGGTTAAAATTGAAATGGCTTTTATTAACTTAAGAACCAAAAACGTTTAAGGATGCCTTTGCCACGCAAGATGCGCTTACTAAATGATTTTATGGTGTTTATAACCGCCACGGGGGGGGGGGGGGGGGGGGGGGGTAATCATGGCGTTATTTAGAAATCTAAAACTACTGCCAAGTAACCTCGAGAGGTCAAAACGTGTTTGGTTACACTGTCCAGGGAGTCCATATTTGACCACCAGCCATTAAATACGTGACTTTTACCTGCAATGGAATGTGTTTCGGCAGATAATCAATACTGATTATTCTCTGGCTTTGACGTTATATACTAGTAGTTACATGTTTGAAACGACCTATTTAGACCCATTTCCTTGCAACCATCTGACAGCGGATCAAATCACATCATGTAAACGGTATAGCTTTGTCGCAGGTATCAAAATGTAACAAAAAAGTTAACCCCAGTTAGATAGGTAGATTTTTACGGTTAAATATCTGCACATACATGTAGACGAAGTCACCGTCTTACCCGTATAGACGCAATGGGGATTCCAGCTTAGAAAACCCCCCAGCAACTTGTTCTAAAGAAGCGTGTTGATGGATCCAGTGGTCATGCTTCGTGGTTTGGTTGATTAAGTGTGACCGTACGCGACAGTGTTGATCGTTGCTTATAATATCAATCACTGGATTGACAGGTCAAGATTTGTTTATTTACATACCGTCGTCATGTTGCAGGAATATTGCTGATTGTGGCACAAAGCAACAACAGTCAAAGCCTCACCTACTATTATGACCTTGTGTTGGCGGTCTCTGACAGTGCCGGAGTGTCGGAGGTTACAGGACCAGCGAACACCGTTACAGTGACCAACAGGCTCTGGATCTCAATAAAATGCTATCATTTTTTATGTTCTGTTTATAAAGCATCCCTTTATGAAATTGTTCAGTTGGAGGAAAAGTTGATAAATCCAAATTTAAAACTAAAATTCTGATATATGTTAACGATAACTGACCGTTGTTCATAGTATTAGACTACATTACATTTGGGTTGTACATCTTTGGTTATGATGTCAAAGGCCACGTGACCAATACCAACAATACCAGTCTGTCAAATCGTAGGAGAAGGGCAAGTATTAAAGTTGCAAAATGCTTTGAAAGTGGTCATCAGACATGCTCATTCAGTTGACATCTGCCCGAGGCAAGGGAGTTAAGTGACTGTAAAAGTCCAGTTTCCACCCTTGCCGAACTAGGCTGGACTAACGAGTCCATGCGTAGTCAAATCAAAATCCCACAACGAACGAGACATCCGCTTCGTAAACAATATGGTTTTCTACGTGCAGATTTCGTCGACTGCTAAATGTTTTTGCTCAAATTACGTAGATCCCATAGGCCAAAGAGTGCCCTTGTCATACCTTGTCCTACGCCATCGAAAAAGCTGAATATACAAATTATTATTATTTCCTTAAAATCAGACGATATAGGAGTTGTGTTTCAGTACTTATCAACCTGACGAGGGTTATTTGACGATAGAACAGGTCCCCACTACGCTACACTGGAATGTTTATATAACGTACGAATGAATGAATGAATGAATGAATGAATGAATGAATGAATGAATGAATGAATGAATGAATGAATGTGCTAACCAACCAACTAACCATCCATCCAACCCAAACCAACCAGCCAACCTGTCGCCAAACCAACCAACTAACCAACCAATGAATGAAGTATGTTGGTTGCGCAAGAACACATGTAGGAGAGAGAGAGAGAGAGAGAGAGAGAGAGAGAGAGAGAGAGAGAGAGAGAGAGAGAGAGGGAGGACCTTTTGCGCCATCTTGCAGTACCATGCACGCTGTAAGATGAGGGTCCGTGTTTAAGATGTTCAATCTGGTTGATTCACTATCAATGTACTAAGTCAGAGTGGATATGTGTTTATGTAACCAACCACTGATTTATCTTGTCCCGACTCAACATGATCAACAGTTTCTCCCCCTACCTTCACCCCTAGTGCCCCGTACCCACAGGACAGCCGCACCTAAGAAAAACTCTCACCTATGACCCCTTCCGTGCTGTCAGCGATGAACCTTCAGACAAACAACATCTCGACCGACAAACGCATCGTTAATTACCCAGTGGAAGCCGCCCGTTTCTGAAGGGAGGTCGGCAGATCGGCGGAAATAGAGATATCAATTATTAATGAAGCAATCTCAGTACTACGTTTTGACTAGGAAACAACAGAACACCAGAATTTCCATCAAGTAGAGCTACTTTGTCATTGTCACTATGCCTCTTTCTTCAATGATCAGACTGGGGGCTTGTTTTTTTGGTTTGAGAAATCACGAGACATTTGCGAGCGGCATGCTGCACAACGTGATCCCGTATCGTCATGCCCCCCCCCCCCCCCCCCCCCCCCCCCCCCCCCCACACACACACACACACACACACATAGTTGGAATATTGCTGAGTGCGGCGTTAAACAACAAACAAACAAACAAAATCCTAATGATGATCCAGGTGTGGTCTCTCCTGGCTCAGACACACCAGAAGTTGACAGCGTGTACATAAAGCCCATTTGAATAAATTAGTAGTTTTTCTACCTGAACCTATTCATAATGGCGACCCAGGTGTGAATCATCTTGACAATCCAGTGATTGACCGCGCGGACATCTATAAAATAGACAGAATAAGAATGTTTTCACGGGTGGTCTTCACCAGAGAGTCATAGTATCCATCTAATTCCCGTTTATACTCTTCTAACGACAGTCGTGATGGACCCTCCTCCTTAGACCCGTTCAGCTATAAATCCCATACCTGTTTAAGGAGATGTCTTTTATGTTATTGCCCAACAAGAAGGTTCTGTGTATTTGAAACGTGAACCATTTAACAGCGTAATAGGAGAGTCAGCAGTGGATGCTGATCCTACTATTTGCTATCGTGTTCTCACGTCGGCAGTTCCAAATGGACACAGCGAACACTCAATCGGACAGAGGTGAAGGTCAGAGCACGTAACGCCACACACACGAGTGCCACTAAATGCAAGCATTCATTTGTTTCATCACAAAATGATAATGAAAGTCAGCCTAAGAATTATATTGGTCGGAAGACTGTGGTGTAGCTACATTCTATGCAACGACGTGTGACATATATCCCCAACCATCACACCTCACGTGTTTAAACGTCTTTGCCGCCTCGAATATTGGTTTCAGTACTCGCTCCTTTGAGTCGTGTTTCGCTCGATCTGGGGCCAGTGAAACTGAACTAAAACCCGAGATCTGGTTTTATGTATATACGAATCCCGTCTTCAGCGGCAGGTTACAATCGTAAAACACCTCCAACAATACAGTCTGGGCTGTATAAATCCTATATACCCTTGCGTTACCCTGTCAACTCAGACAGTGCCCTCTTCTCAAGGAAGGCGTGGCCGTCTGCGACACTGCGCTGATGACGTGGTGACAGTGTATTATAGCTAATGCTTCAATTGAAATCCATTTAGATTTGGCATCATGAAGTTTAGCGTTGTCGGTGTGGGTAACGGCCGCTGTGATGGCGATGCTTGTGTTGATGGAACGATCTACCTCGGGGCGTTATCTAAGAAACGACCAGTAATTGCAATCTTAAACTACTCCTAACTGCTTTATCTGTTCGCATTAATATTCAATGATTTAATATCCGGAGGGATCTGATCATGCGACCAGGGAATCAGATGATTGAGATAAGTACGTGCGAGCTTCAGAGGACGAACATGGCGGCATGTTCGCGTCTGTCGACAGGCACTACAGTTACCCCTCCCAGAGAAACACAGCCGGGCACCGCCTTCCGTCAGGGCAAGGACAGACCAAGGGCCAGAGTTGACAACCCCGTCAGATCGGTCAGCAAGAAGGGGGCACCATATCGTCATGTGCCCCACAGTCAGAAACCCCCTCATCTCGTGCAGAGACGTAACGCACGTGAACGTCGTCGTGTTCAAGCTGTCAATGGTGCCTTTTCCCGACTTCGCAAACACGTCCCGTATGAGCCGAAACACAAGCGGTTGTCCAAGGTGAAGACTCTCCGAGTGGCTATAGACTATATTAGACAACTGGAAGACATGATCACGGACCATGACAGACGCGCACGTGACGCCAGGAGGGACTGCGGGGGACACCAAGTCTACGTCAACTCTGACATTCATAACATCGTCGACGGCGGCCGGAACTGGATGCAAGGTCAACCGGTGAGTGTTCAAACACCTCGTTGTTTTGTCGTTATGAAACATCTTCCAGATTATCTTGTCGTTATAAATACCTGGCCTAGTCGTTTGGGATGCATGGCAAACCTGTGAGTGTTTAAACACCTGGGCACTAGTCTCATAAAACACTTCCCAAGTTGTTTAATCGTTATAAAACACTTCCGTGCTTGTCTAGTCGTTATAAAAAATCCGGGGTTGTCTATGTGTTATAAACACTTCCCAGGTTGTCTGGTCGTTATAAAACACTTCCCAGGTTGTCTGGTCGTTATAAAACACTTTCCAGGTTTCTATTTGTTATAAAACACTTTCCAGGGTGTTTCTTTGTTATAAATACTTCCTAGGGTCATTTGTTATAAAATACTTCTCAGGTTGTGTCTTTGTTATAAACACTTCCCAGTTTGTCTAGTCACTCTAAAACACTTCCCAGGATGTTTATGTGTTATAAAACACTTTCGTGGTTGTCTAGCCACCCTGAAACACTTCCCAGTTTCTCTAGTCACCCTGAAACACTTCCCAGGATGTTTACATGCAATAAAACACTTCCCAATTTGTCAAGTCGTTATAAAACACTTTCCAAGCTGTCTAGTCACTCTGAAACACTTCCCAGGATGTTTACATGTTATAAAACACTTTCGTGGTTGTCTAGTCACCCTGAAACACTTCCCAGGATGTTTATGTGTTATAAAACACTTCCCAATTTGTCAAGTCGTTATAAAACACTTTCCAAGTTGTCTAGTCACTCTGAAACACTTCCCAGGATGTTTACATGTTATAAAACACTTCCCAGAAAGTCTAGTCGTTAGAAAACACTCCCCAATTTGTCAAGTCGTTATAAAACACTTTCCAGGTTGTCTAGTCACTCTATAACACTTCCCAGATGGTCTTGTCATTCTGAAACACTTCCAGGGTTGTTCATTTGTTATAAACATTTCCCTGGTTATCTAGTCGTTATAAAACACTACACTGGTTGTCTAGTCGCTCTGAAACTTCCCAATTTGTCTAGTAGTTATAAAACACATTCCAAGTTGTGTAGTCACTTTGAAACACTTCCCAGGATGTTTACATGTTATAAAACACTTCCCAGAAAGTCCAGTCGTTATAAAACACTCCCCAATTTGTCAAGTCGTTATAAAACACTTTCCAGGTTGTCTAGTCACTCTATAACACTTCCCAGATGGTCTTGTCATTCTGAAACACTTCCAGGGTTGTTCATTTGTTATAAACATTTCCCTGGTTGTCTAGTCGTTATAAATCACTACACTGGTTGTCTAGTCGCTCTGAAACTTCCCAATTTGTCTAGTAGTTATAAAACACTTTCCAAGTTGTGTAGTCACTTTGAAACACTTCCCAGGATGTTTACATGTTATAAAACACTTCCCAGAATGTCTAGTCGTTATAAAACACTTCCCAATTTGTCAAGTTGTTATAAAACACTTCCGATGATTTAATTTGTTATAAAACACTTGCCAGGTTGTCTAGTCACTCTGAAACACTTAACATGTTGTTCATTTGTTGTAAACACTTCCATTGTTGTCTAGTCATTAATAAACACTTCCCAGGTTGTTCATTTGTTATAAACACTTCCATGGTTGTCTAGTCACCCTGAAACACTTCCTAGGATGTTTCTTTGTTATAAACACTTCCTAGAATGTCTAGTCGTTATAAAACATTTCCCAATTTGTCAAGTCGTTATAAAACTCTTCCCAGGTTGTCTTGTCGCTCTGAAACACTTCCCAATTTGTCAAGTTGTTATAAAATACTTCCCAGGATTTTTATTTATTAAATAAGACTTTCCAGGTTGTCAAGTCGATCTTAAACACTTCCCAAGATGTTCATTTGTTATAAACACTTCCCTGGTTGTCTAGTCGTTATAAAACACTTCCAAGGATGTTTATGTGTTATAAAGCACTTCCCAGGTTGTCTAGTCACCCTGAAACACTTCCCAGGATGTTTATTTGTTATAAAGCACTTCCCAGATTGTCTAGTCACCCTGAAAAACTTCCCAGGATGTTTATTTGTTATAAAAGCACTTCCCAGATTGTCTAGTCACCCTGAAACACTTCCCGGGATGTTTATTTGTTATAAAGCACTTCCCAGGTTGTTTTGTCACTCTGAAACATTTCCCATGTTATTTATTTGTTATAAACACTTCCCTGGTTGTCTAGTCGTTATAAAAAAAACTTCCCAGGATGTTTATTTTTTAAATAACACTTCCAAGGTTGTCTAGTCGATCTGAAACACTTCCCAGGTTGTTTATTTGTTATAAACACTTCCTAGAATGTCTAGTCGTTATAAAACATTTCCCAATTTGTCAAGTCGTTATAAAACTCTTCCCAGGTTGTCTTGTCGCTCTGAAACACTTCCCAATTTGTCAAGTTGTTATAAAATACTTCCCAGGATTTTTATTTATTAAATAACACTTTCCAGGTTGTCAAGTCGATCTTAAACACTTCCCAGGATGTTCATTTGTTATAAACACTTCCCTGGTTGTCTAGTCGTTATAAAACACTTCCAAGGATGTTTATTTGTTATAAAACACTTCCCAGGTTGTCTTGTCACTCTGAAACATTTCCCAGGATGTTTATTTCTTATAAAGCACTTCCCAGATTGTCTAGTCACCCTGAAACACTTCCCAGGATGTTTATGTGTCATAAAACACTTCCCTGGTTGTCTAGTCCTTATAAAACACTTCCAAGGATGTTTATTTGTTATAAAGTACTTCCCGGGTTGTCTAGTCACCCTGAAACACTTCCCAAGATGTTTATTTGTTATAGACACTTCCCTGGTTGTCTAGTCACCCTGAAACACTTCCTAGGATGTTTCTTTGTAAGAAACACTTCCTAGAATGTCTAGTCGTTATAAAACACTTCCCAATTTGTCAAGTCGTTATAAAACACTTCCCAGATTGTCTAGTCACCCTGAAACACTTCCCAGGATGGTAATGTGTCATAAAACACTTCCCTGGTTGTCTAGTCCTTATAAAACACTTCCAAGGATGTTTATTTGTTATAAAGTACTTCCCGGGTTGTCTAGTCACCCTGAAACACTTCCCAAGATGTTTATTTGTTATAAACACTTCCCTGGTTGTCTAGTCACCCTGAAACACTTCCTAGGATGTTTCTTTGTAAGAAACACTTCCTAGAATGTCTAGTCGTTATAAAACACTTCCCAATTTGTCAAGTCGTTATAAAACACTTCCCAGATTGTCTTGTCACTCTGAAATGTTTCCCAGGATGTTTATGTGTCATAAAACACTTCCCAGGTTGTCTAGTCGATCTGAAACACTTCTCAGGTTGTCTTGTAACTCTGAAACATTTCCCAGGATATTTATGTGTCATAAAACACTTCCCAGGTTGTCTAGTCGATCTGAAACACTTCCCAGGTTGTTAATTTGTTATAAACACTTCCCTGGTTGTCTAGTCGTTATAAAAAAAACTTCTCAGGATGTTTATTTTTTAAATAACACTTCCAAGCTTAAGGTTGTCAAGTCGATCTGAAACACTTCCCAGGTTGTTTATTTGTTATAAATACTTCCCTGGTTGTCTAGTCGTTATAAAATAATTCCCAGGATGTTTATTTTTTAAATAACACTTCACATGTTGTCAAGTCGATCTTAAACACTTCCCAGGATGTTTACTTGTTATAAAGCACTTCCCAGGTTGTCTAGTCACTCTGAAACACTTCCCAGGTTGTTCGTTTGTTATAAACACTTCCCAGGTTGTCTAGTCGTTATAAAATACTTCCCAGGATGTTTATTTTTTAAATAACACTTCCCAGGTTGTCAAGTCGATCTTAAACACTTCCCAGGATGTTTATTTGTTATAAAGCACTTCCCAGGTTGTTTTGTCACTCTGAAACTTTTCCCAGGATGTTTATTTGTCATAAATCACTTCCCGGGTTGTCTAGTCGATCTGAAACACTTCCCAGGTTGTCTAGTCGTTGTAAAAAACTTCCTAGGATGTTTATTTGCTGTAAAGCACTTCTCAGGTTGTCTAGTCGATCTGAAACACTTCCCAGGTTGTCTAGTCGTTGTAAAAAACTTCCCAGGATGTTTATTTGTTGTAAAGCACTTCCCAGGTTGTCTAGTCACTCTGAAACACTTCCCATGATGCCTCTTTATTACAAAACACTTCCCAGGTTGTCTATTCGTATTAGAACGTTATGAAATACCTGGTATTGTTGTTTATATGTATATTGTTGTTTATAATCCCTGGTCTGGTTGTAAGGGAATACCTGGTTGTGTTGTCGTTATAAAACTCCTTCCAAGTTGTCTAGTCGTTATAAAAAAGCCTGGTCTGGTTGTAATAAAATGCAAGGTTATCTTGTAATTACAAACCGCATTGTAGTCTGATCGTTGTAACACATTATCCAGGTTGTCTTGTTAAAAACACTTTGTTGTATACTCGTTATCAAACACCTTGGTATTGTATTAAACAGGTTAAAGAGTGAGGTGGGATGGGGAGAGGAATTATGGGGGAGAGGCCGGGGGCAGAGGATGAGATTGGGGGAAGGGATGAAGGGACGGAGTGAAAGGTTTGACAGGGGTGCAAATAGAGATCGTGGGTGAGGATATAGATATCGGTGTATGGCCATGGAGCGGATAGGGACTGTGAGGATATGGATGGTGAGGGTGGATGTGGAGTGACGGGTTGTGGTGTGAAAGGGGAGTCTGTGGAGATGGAGCCAGGCGTGGTGATGGAGGACTTGGGGGATTGGAGTGGAAGAAGTGAGCGGCGGGATACAGAGAGTGGAAGCGGTAATACACACCGCCACACCCGTGTACTGCCTATAGTTCACGAATAGCGGGTAGCCTAGTGGTTCGAGTCCCAAAGTGGGTACAATGTGTGAAGCCCATTTCTGGTGTCCCCCGCCGTCATATTGCTGGAATATTGCTAAAAGCGGCGTAAAACCATGCTCACTCTCTACATTAACCAAACCAAGCAATCTTTGAAATATGCGTTTTCGAATGTACAATTAAACTTGTTTGTCCACTGAGAGTCCGTTGTACGATTCTGATTATATTATAAGCATGAGTGAGTGAGTAAGTATGGTGTTTACGCCGCTTTTGGCAATATTCTAGCAATATTACGCCGGGGGACACCAGAAATGAGCTACATGGGCTTAAGTATGTGTTTATGAATCACTATCAACAGTGATGATACAAGGTGTTGGGGAAAAGTTGAACTTATCCTGCCCCACCGGTGGCACCCGTCTCACAGAACAATGGACATGGCGGTGGGCAAATCTGGAGGGATTGGTCATGTCATAAGTTCACTGGGCGCGGCTCGTCTCAGTCCAAAGGGACCAACCTCGTCCATCACTGGCAGGAATCCATATTGAAAGTAGTTTCGTTCACGTGACTATCACATGCCACAACGCCACCTGGTGGAATTCGTGTAACTTGCATTTACAATGTACTTTTGTCTTCAAATTGAAGTGTACGCCTAATTTCTATTAAGCACAGAATAACTGTTTTCAATACCAGCGTCTTGTTATGCGAACTATTTGCGGCGAGGTCTGGTCTGACTCGGTTTACAGTGAATTCATGTAATATTCCACTCAGGGATCGAAATAAGCCGAGTGTACCCAAATAATCATAACTTGGGTCAGCAATGAATACTGTATACCACATGGATTTGCAGCTTCACTGATTGTTTGTTTGTTTGTTTGTTGTTTAACGCAACACTCAGCAATATACCAGCTATATGACGGCGGTCTGTAAATAATCGAGTCTGACAAGATAATCCTGTGATTAACAACATGAGCGTCGATCCACGCAATTGGGATACGATGACATGACAACCAAGAACCCGATCCCATCAGTCGTCTCTTACGTAAAGCATAGTCGCCTTTTACAGCAAGCATGGGTTGCTGAAGACTAATCCAATCCGTATCTTCACGTTTCGATTCACTTCACTATCGTTTGTTTATGGTTTAACGCCTTGCTCAGTTATATTCCAGCAATATGACGTCGTCTGTAAATGATCGAATCTGGTCCAGACAATCCATTGATGGACATCATGAGCATCGATCTATGGGGTTGGGGTTGGTGTGGGTGTTGGTGTGGGTGTTGGTGTCGGTGTTGGTGTCGGTGGTCTGGGGTGGGGGTGGTATGTGTGCTGAAATTATTTAATTAAATGAGTGACCTTTTTTCCGTAATCACGAATTCCAAGTATTTATTACCCATTCTCATTCCATTTTGGGGAAACGTTTCTGAACTGGTTTCTGTAAGGTGAATCTCCCGCCGAGATCGGACGTTATGTATTGTTATATGACGTGATTGACGTCATTAAACTACAAGGTGACCTTGTACAGCTTGTTTGGTTGAAAAGTGTCATGTTTAACTGACCAAACAGCAGTTAACGCCCCCATAACACCTCCTTGGGGTCAGATGAATCGGAGCATCACTTGGATACAATATGTTTTTTTCTAATATTGTAACTTCGATGTATCTGGTACAAATGTATACGGGTCATATATGTTCAAATCTGAATAAGTAAAAGTGCAACCAAACTTTTTTTGAGACATCAAAAATCATTTTATGAAGGGTGTTATTGTAATTTATTATCTCTTTATTTTGGACAAGGGATTCATTGCTACTGGACTACTAAGTTAATAAAATTATTTCATCGTATAGAGACATTTTCTGCTGGCATGATATATGCAATTTCAGGCCTTTAAAGAAATCTACCGCAAACATGTTCAAATTCCACTAATCTGAGCAATATCGATCCTGGGCCACATGTATGTATTACATAAAATAAATACATTCTTCAATGTAAAATTTCTTCTTAACATGACGTTTCAAAACTTTATGAACCTTTATCTGAATAGTTTGAGACAAAGTCCGCATGTTTTAGTCGGATAACGCCCACATTATTTGTATACTGAATACAGCTTTGTGCCAGGCTTAATTATAGCACAAATTCAATTATAAGAATTCCTTGTTCATTTTGCAATCTGATCAAACTCCCGAACAATGCTTTGGGAGCATGGTAAATTTTGGTATTTGTCAATACCAACTGGTTTTAAAACGGTAACTAATCTGCGTTTAAAAACAGTATGTTATGAAATTAACACATTGTTGACGTCAAGAAGGATTTATAATGAATGACCTTACCGCTTCGAAATCATAGTTTTGTCTCTAAGGACCCTTCATATTCGCCTTCAGTCAGTGTAAAAATCACTGCTTTGGAAACTGATGACGTATGAAATTATTGACGATTCTCATAAACACGCTTTTATTATTATTCGTACGAAAGAAATTATTTTATCATACTGCACTTGCTTTATCCGAATATATGACAACAACTGACTCAAGTGTATCTGTTTCAGCAAGTGCACCCGGGACAACCAAGAAGATGTGCTCACCTCGTGCATTTTCCCTCGTCATGCGCACAAGTGAACGTTCATACCAATGGCTATCTTGATCTCTGCGGCGGGTCGCTGATGTGACGCAATAGACCTGACAGAGACGTTGCAAATGGCCCTGAGTATTGTGCAACAGGTGTACTAAGACACCTCGCCTTCTTTCAAAGCGTTCCGGGACGAATGTGTGCGGGATAAAGACGAGTGTGTGACCAAGTCCTCATTAGATCATGATCCACCACGTGCGATACAAACTACAAAAGAACTACCATCTTGGCATGCACGGTCTGGGAGTTGCCTGTGTCACTGGGTGTTGTACTCCAAGACTGACCAACTGTGGTTATTTGTCAGGGATAGAATTGGTCCCTAGCAACCTATCCTGGTCGTAACAGGCGACTAAATGGATCGGGTGGTCAGGCTCGGTGACTTGGTTATGTCGAGTCAACGTGTCCCAATCGTCGTTCATAATATCAATCCCTGAATTGTCTGGTCCGGACACGAGATTATGTACAGCCGTCATGTAACCTGATTATTGTTGAGTACAGCGGTAAACAATAAACACACACACACACACACACACACACACACACACACACACACACACACACACACACACACACACACACACACACACACACACACTGATGGTGATGAAGATGATGACGTCTTGCCGCTTGACTCGCTGCCTGTACACAGATTCCCATTCTGTTGCCGCCATAGTATGCGAACAACTATAGTTAATGAAATTGAGAAAAATCGATTTTTTCCAACATACACGCCCAATGCGAATGGAAATTGCTGAGTTGTTGATGGAGGAATGCATGTCGTTATTGCGGATTTGCCACCATTCCACGGCACGACAGTATATGAGCTTACTGTATTGTAATGGTACGCGGAGAGAACATAGCCATGGAGTGAGAAGAACGAATGACCGAGTCAGTATAGCTGACTTGTTTGTTATTTGATGCACCAATGGAATCCTCAACTTAATCGTCGTTCCATTGTTTCTGTGCCCATCTTGCAGGAGGTGATGTACTGGTGGCGCGAGTCAACCATTTACAGCTAGGATATTGTGCTAATGGCTATTTATTGCTTTTGGATTATCGCTGATGAATATACGACTCACCATACCACAACAGCTGCTTTATTTGTTGGGTGGAACAGTTGCACTTTGTTGTGTCGATATTATAAGATTCTGATTACAAGTAATACAAGCACCTACTTACCCGGAAGTGACCGACGGCGCCAAACCGACGTTGACCCTTAAGAGCATCCTACAAACAAGTGATCAATTGAGTGTGTGGCCTTTGCCTGAAGGAAGTGATAGAAAGTTCTCATGTTCTTACTTTTATTACAAAATAACATTCCAAAAGTAGCATTTGGATTTCTGTGGTCAATTTGCTTCTATACAAGAGCTAAATATATTTTACGCATTAACAACGCCCCGGTTTCCCTGACCCAGTAACTGTTATTTACATGCCTCGCGGAATGTGGCTTAAAACAACATTCACTCGCTGATTCTATTTCAGACACTATTTTTATGTTTATTAATTATTTCATATTTTGTTTGTTTGTTGTTTAACGCCGATCTCAGCAATACTCCAAATATATGACGGCGGTCTGTAAATAATCGAGTCTGGATCAGACAAGCCTGTGATTGATGTCATGAGCATTGATCTGATCCACGCAATTGGGATACGATCATATGCATCAACCAATTCAGCGAGCCTGACCACCCGATCCCGTTAGTCGCCTCTTACGACAAGCATAGTCGCCTCTTACGGCACGCATGTGTTGCTGAAGACCTATTCTACCCCGGATCTTCGCGGAGCTACATCTACAGCAAATAGAACAGCTGCAAGACTTCACATGGTGAGGGTGTTCGTACATCCTCGGGTAACAAGTGTGTTATATTTTCATTCTGTTATGATAAATAACATACACTCATTCGCTGGCGTAGCTTCATTTTTTGAAGTGACGTAACGACCTGCATACCTCCTCGTAGTAGCCTCGCATGAACATTCTCTTGCCTATGATTAGTCGGCTATTTGAACGTCGTTTTCTGTGGCGAAAAGGTCCGGGGTATGTATGATAACACAATGGAAATATGATACCCTGGATAGTCGAGGATGGCATTCACAGTGGTACAGGTTAATCTAAAACATTGTTCGGTGTTTGTAACATCGGTGTTCTCTGTGTATAACATCGGTGTTCGCTGTGTACAACATCGGTTTTCTCTGCGTACAACATCGATGTTCGCTGTGTACAACACCGGTGTTCGCTGTTTATAACATCGGTCTTCTCTGTGTACAACATCGGTGTTCGCTGTGTACAACATCGGTGTTCGCTGTTTATAACATCGGTCTTCTCTGTGTACAACATCGGTGTTCGCTGTGTACAACACCGGTGTTCGCTGTTTATAACTATCACCTATGTTCGTTTTATTCTCACCTGCCACGTTTCCAACATTCTGGCACTGCTCGGAGAGATCACATCTAACAAAGCCTGAAGATGTTTGTATGTTTAAGCAGTGCGTTAATGTTTTATGTGATTAAACTGGTCGCCAGTGTGACAATCTTGGTGTTTTTAATTAATATTTTCCTCTTTTGAATTCATGGTCCAACTCAGAGAGGACTGTGAGTTGCTAAAAATATGGTCAGTGTAGTTTTATTGTCGTAAATAATTGATATTCAATCCGCGTTACTCTCTTAGTATGCCTTTCGCAACAGTGTTATAATGCATATCTTGAAATAATCTTCAATTATTAGTCTTCAACTGCTGCATGTGACTGTGTAGGTTATAATAAGGGTAACGCTATTTTTCAGGGCATTATCATTTGCAGAAGCCCGAGATCTTCCATTAACTCCCCGACGAAGGAGGGCAGTTGAAAAGATCGATGCCTCTGCGAATAATAATGCCCTGAAAAAAGAGCGTTACCGTTATTATAGCTAAATGGATGGAATTTGTTATCAAATAAAAAGGAACAACAATATCGGTTTTTGAAACATTTACTGCAATCAACACGAATGTCACTGACCCACTTTTACAAATATGGAAACGCCATAGAACAAACCAGATGATGTCACTATTGAACGTGACGTCACATATCCCTATCCTATGACGTCACCGGGTGTGATAATGGCCCGTCGTCAAGCAATATGAGGGCATTATCAAGTTACAGTGGCCCGCTCATTTTTGATAACATGCGGGCGGTTTAGTGATAATTCTATCCATTTTAGCTATAATGATGTTTAAATAATATGTTTAGTAGAGTCTGTGAATTGCTTTAAAAAATATCTTTTCGATCTTTTCGACGTCATTGTACAAGCTTCTGTTTAACGGATTTGTTTTTACATACGTCTCGCATAGATATTCTTTATTTCCTCCAGATATTGAAGATACATATCATATATGATATTATGTATAATTACAGAGCTGTACAGTAGTACAATTTAACAATATTATGAGAAATGATAACTACAAAATGCATGACAATCAAGCATTCTTATAACTGTTTTGTAACAGATACAGCCATTTCCTACAGTATCTTGACACAATAACCATAAGGTCACCCCATAGACTTTGAGATAAAGAGCTAACACACTCAGGCAAACCGCCAAGTAGTACAGACAGGATTATATCATCCTCCTCACTACATAGTCTTGCAAATGTAGAGACATCTATCACATCACAAATGATTTCAAATAGTTCATTTCTGTCATTCATATTCAATGTACAATACAAAATGATATAATATCATGAGCTACAATTCTACATCGACATTCCCTAGATTCTAAATTTATATTTAGGCATCCCAGCCGTACAAGATGAGACAGGTTTGGGAACTGTTCAGGACGCCCAAGTGCAAGCAGCCAGAGTCTGTGTTCTTTATCATTACGTAGCGAAACATATCTATTTAAGTTACGTCTAGATAGCAGCTTAGAGCATACAGCTTCCTGGTCTGCAAAAATAATCCTTTCCTTAACAATATCAGACTATGCCTTTTTACTTGGGAAGCTACATTTAATTAAATAATCTTCTATTTCTGCATAGAGATTGTATTTTTTGACTAGTCTAAGCATGTTATATACAGGTGACAAAGTACATCGTTTTCTGAAGTTTTCTGAAGTTATCCAACGCTATTTCGTATTTCGCTATTTGTATCCCGAGAACGACGACATAGAAGATGTACAGGGAGATAAGATGTAATGGGGATTTCCCAGCTGTGAAAGAACCATTGATGGTCCACACATACCGATTATAGGATCATAACATGACTAGATTATCTTAATCGAGAAGGATGCTATTCACCCATCCTGCAAACTGTATGCAACTACCTCTGTATATGAGAAGGGTGGTATTCACACATCCTTCAAGCTGTATGCGGCAACCTCTATATATGAGAAGGGTGATATTCACTTATCCTGCAAACAGTCTGCGACTACTTTTATATATGAGAAGGGTGATATTCACTTATCCTGCAAACTGTATGCAACTACCTCTATATATGAGAAGGGTGATATTCACTTATCCTGCAAACAGTCTGCAACTACTTTTATATATGAGAAGGGTGATATTCACTTATCCTGCAAACTGTATGCAACTACCTCTATATATGAGAAGGGTGATATTCACTTATCCTGCAAACTGTATGCAACTACCTCTATATATGAGAAGGGTGATATTCACTTATCCTGCAAACTGTATGCAACTACCTCTATATATGAGAAGGGTGATATTCACTTATCCTGCAAACTGTATGCAACTACCTCTATATATGAGAAGGGTGATATTCACTTATCCTACAAGCTGTATGCAACTACCTCTATATATGAGAAGGGTAATATTCACCCATCCTGCAAGCTGTATGCGACTACCTATATATATGAGAAGGGTGATATTCATTATCCTGCAAACTGTATGCAACTACCTCTATATATGAGAAGGGTGGCATTCACTTATCCTGCAAACTGTATGCAACTACCTATATATATGAGAAGGGTGATATTCACTCATCCTGCAAGCTGTATGCAACTACCTCTATATATGAGAAGGGTGATATTCACTTATCCTGCAAACTGTATGCAACTACCTCTATATATGAGAAGGGTGGCATTCACTTATCCCGCAAGCTGGCTTCTCAATCTAATGTTTGTGCTTCTGGGCAACTTCCAAATATTACAACTCAAAAGAACTTAAAGAACACCCGAGTTTTATATTAATATAGTTAATCTGTCAGGACCATGACAGATAAACTACATTCGTTTAAAAAAAAGGATGTTTTTTAACTTCCTTTGAGCAGAGTTCATCACGCAAACGAGCAGTGTTTATGGACACATAGAAGGATCCCCTGTTTTGTAGCCGTGTACACGTGACAGCCTTGCTCTTAAATAGAGAAACTACTCTGAGTGTTATAGGCTTGTCAACATTTGGATGTCCCTTCTCGGGGCAACCAGTTGAATACAGGATATATTGTCTGGACCCGTGTCAGACCCAGACAGTCACGGAGATACACGAGACAGAGATTGGTCAATCTACGCTTTGTCCAGACTGTCACGGAGATATACGAGACAGAGATCGGTCAATCTACGCTTTGTCCAGACAGTCACGGAGATATACGAGACAGAGATTCGTCAATATACACTTTGTCCAGGCAGTCACGGAGATAAACGAGACAGAGATTGGTCAATATACACTTTGTCCAGACTGTCACGGAGATATACGAGACAAAGATTGGTCAATCTACACTTTGTCCAGGCAGTCACGGAGATACACGAGACAGAGATTCGTCAATCTACGCTTTGTCCAGACAGTCACGGAGATATACGAGACAGAGATTGGCCAATATACACTTTGTCCAGGCAGTCACGGAGATATACGAGACAGAGATTAATCAATATACACTTTGTCCAGACTGTCACGGAGATATACGAGACAGAGATTGGCCAATCTACACTTTGTCCAGACAGTCACGGGGATACACGAGACAGAGATCGATCAATCTACACTTTGCCCAGGCAGTCACGGAGTTATACGAGACAGAGATTGGTCAATCTACACTTTGTCGAGGCAGTCACGGAGTTATACGAGACAGAGATTGGTCAATGTACGCTTTGTCCAGACTGTCACGGAGATATACGAGACAGAGATTGGTCAATCTACGCTTTGTCCAGACAGTCACGGAGATATACGAGACAGAGATGGGTCAATCTACACTTTGTCCAGACAGTCACCGAGATATACGAGACAGAGATTGGTCAATCTACACTTTGTCCAAATGGTGGTCAGTCTATACCAGCCCGTCACGGAGATACGGGAGACAAATGGTGATCAGTCTATACCAGCCCGTCACGGAAATACGGGAGACAAATGGTGATCAGTCTATACCAGCCCGTCACGGAAATACGGGAGACAAATGGTTGTCAGTCTATACCAGCCCGTCACGGAGATACGGGAGACAAATGTTGATCAGTCTATGTTAGCTAGTCACGTGGGAAGGAGGTTTGTGATTGGAATGGAGATTGCGTGGTCCCAATCAGCCTGGTTCCCTGGGTATGCTGCGCTGACGCATCAGTGTAGCGCCAGCGCAGCATACCCAGGGAACCAGGCTAGTTCACAATGCCCACTCT